GATCTGGGGGGAGGAACTCTTGCACTTGGAAGGCGAAAACACGAGTGATTTCGATAGAAAAAACACGATCGGGAAAACGATGAATAGTGCCTCAGCCATGGAGGAGGATGACGTGACACACGAGAAAAAGATGGAGCTTGAAACTCTGTTGGAAGCTTCAGGAGAGCGCTACCTTGGAATATCAACCTCACAGATGGGGGATGCCCGTGCCACTGTCTGGCACAGTCGGTGTGGTATCCGGATCACTCAAACCTCTGCTTGATATGGGACATGAAAGAAATTCTGTCAATCGGATCACGATCATTAACAGAAGGCCACCCTCCTAGTAGTGAGATCAATGCTGGCGTTGCGGTGGATCGAGGAAAACGTGACGAAATATCGGGAGTCAAGGGCACCAACAGCGGAATCGATATAAGCCATCGATTAGAGCAGGAGGCTTGAGTTGTTTCAAACTGCGTGCAAAGTATTCTCGATACATATTGATGTGAAGCACGTGTCGAGCCGCATAAGATTCTTTCCATGGTTTCGAGCGACGTCGACATCTTGGTTATACGCAGTGACGAAGGATCACATGAAGAAAAAACATCGGCAGTTCCTGGCCGAGCTAGGGCCGGAAGCCTTCAAGAGACCCTTGCTGACCCATCGTAATGCAATCACTACGGGTTGGAAGAGAGTTGGTAGAGTGTCTACAGATAATACCAAGGCGAGGGAGTCAATGTTGGAGGAAGACTTGGCGAAAGAATGTGAGCCTGAGTTTGCATAACTCCTTTTGCTTGAACAGGGAGTCCAAGGTGAAGGGTTTGCCACACCAAGCGAACATATTGCAAGAGCAGAGGGAGTGGATGCGACCCTACGATCAGCTAAAAGCTTGGGAAGAGATCGTGATCAGCTCCGACGATGAGGAAGAGCTGTCGAGGCAGATTACAGTGTCGAGTGCATCAGGGCCCAGCACTTCAAGGGCGAGGAGCACGAAATGAACAGGATGCTCAGTATCAGATTCTTAAGTCTTGAGCGCGAAGGAGAAAAGGGCTTGAGTGTGAACTCGGATGAAATCTGAGGTCACGGAAATGAAATTTCAACAAACCAAAACAATGTTATTAGTATACTATATCTATTATATAAAACAAAATGCTGCATGAAAATGTTTTGATAGGATAAGAGAAAAGAAATTTTAAAGATTAGCTCATAAAGCTGGAATTCAGGGTGCAGGTGGATGTAGATTTTGATTGCTGTTTAGTGATAATGTGACCTTTTTGCATGCCTGTGAATTTTGGGGTGAAGATAAAATTAAATCTGCTGCAAACTTCTGTAAATGACCACTGGCACTGTTTCTTGAGACGCACTCAACATGCAGCGGGCTCACTGACAGACGGCGACACGCCTTGAGGACATAGATCTTGAGTCCGGGGTGTTTGTGCCAGTAGGTCATTTTTGGAAATTTGACCTTGAGCAATGCTAAAGGCACGATTTTGGGGAAAAATGAAATTTTTCAAACCTTCGAATTGAGCATGTCATGCCCAATTTTCTCGCGATAACTAAAAAAGATCAGAAAGAAATCAGAAGAACTGAACTACAACCGCGGGAAAGTGCTTGAAAAGAAGCGGAAAAATGTAATTCGCAATTTCCAGATATAAAATCGTACGAAAAGAGAGCTGTCTTATTCTTAACAGAAGACAGAGTGATCGCAAGTAGAGAAGAAAGCGAATCAGAAGTGAACCAGGTTGAACCTTCGGTGGAAAAGTGGACAACCGAAGTTGCCCAATGGTTCAAAGCAAAAACCTATATCTTGAGCGAAAACTTGTTCATGTCAAACTCTTCGAGTTAAACCTAATTACCCCATTTTTTCTAGAGTTGCTTATCAATTTAGTTACTAAACTCTAAAGATCGTGCTGGTATGTGAGTACCCAATGTAAATTTTTTGAGTGTTTTTTACATTGTTATGTTGAGGGAAGGAGAGTTTTAGGTTGATCCATCTGAAATGGATCAAAGTTCTACTGTCTATAAAAAGTAACTATACATAAAGTTCCGACCCTGTTTTTAATGGCGTTCGCGTATTTTAGCTATATTGAGACCTGAGTATGGGGACGTTCTTATTTTCTAGAGTGAAGGGTATTTGGTAGTAGCCTTTAAGTTGTAACGGGTTGCAGTCTCATGTCGCAAGTGAAACGAATTGGCTCCGACCGTTTTGAGGTAGAAAAACACAAGAGATAGTGTCCCTGACTGACTCTTGAGCCAATGGTTATAGGGCCTATTTTTCTTAAGCCTCATATGTGACCGAAGTAGGCTCCTAAACGGAAGATCTGGCTCCAAATTCATGGGGACCTCCATTTGTTCGGGGTCTTGCCAGTCCTCCTCCGCGTAGGGTAAGGTTTCTTCATCCGCTTCAATCACCTCGTTTGGATCCAGGTCCAGTGGTGGACTTGTTCCTTCCTCTACGACTTCATTTCCATCGTTCTTTTCCCTGGTGCCCTTCTCGTTGACCTCACAAGCAGGATCCATCACCAGATAAACCCCCTCTTCCATGTCTGCAGGTATACACCAGTATTCTGTTGATGGGTTGTGTAGCTTAATGTTCTCGTATTGGGCGGCTCGGCCAGTACTCAGTCTATAAAAGCGTCCCTTCTGGTGCACCTCCGTAATCATGAAGGGTCACCTCCAGTTTTTCAGGAGCTTTTTCGTTCTTTCGGTGGTATAACGTTCTGAAATACCCATACGTAGTCTCCTACCGAGTAACCTTTTGCACCAGCTGCTCTCTTATCGAACCTTTTCCTCTGCCTTGCCTGCGCCTGCTGAGTGTTCTGTCTACACAGGTCGTTTAACTCATGTTGAAGTCTAATCACATCCTTTACATAGACCAGTGGAGACGTTTTCTTTCCCTCATACTCTGGGTAGAAGAAAGTCAAGGGCAAAGACTTCTCGTGTCTGGTTAGCATCATGTGTGGACTAACTCCGGCGGTGGAGTGTTGCGTGCTGTTATAAGCTCCCATCGCCTGTGGACTAGCAAACGTTTGGGTTTTCTTGGTGTCACTGAAAACACATGCAAGGAGCATTTCCAAAGACAAACGGTTTAGCAAATGGATTAGGAAAGGTTGCTTCACTCGCTGAATCCCAAAGTGTCTGTTGTGAATATAACAATTTTATGGCGATACAGCACTGACAGAAATTGGGCAATTATTGTCGAAATTATTTGCAACTGGGACGCCAAGTAAGTTCTTTAGAAAACTGTTGCCTCTAAACTTTAAAACACAGCAGGTGATTTTGTAAGCAAACTCTTGACAACAGATAAGAGATATGAACTGATCAAAAGTGGCGTTCATAAATCCACGCAGAAAATTGTTATTTTCCGCCTTAAAACGAGATGCAAAAAAATATATCAAACCTTTGACTAGGTTCAAAATTACTGTTGATCAACGTTAGATCCATCAAAAAACCATACTGCTCGATAAAGTTGTCCAGCTTTAGTTTTTCGACTCATGCAACTGTTTTTTTTTCGATTACAGTTTTGGTATCTAGTTCTGTGTGAAAAAGTTAACATTAATTTGCGTAGCTAATGTTACCAAATGCAGTTTATCTGAATAGTAACTGCCATTTACATTACGGGTTTTCTAATGACAAAACTTCTTGGTTAGTTTGTTTTTGGATGAGATGCAAAAATTTAATACGAAAATTTTTTATGTTTTCTTTTTTGAAAAATGCATATCAAAATTCATGATATGGAAAAAAAATTTATCCAGTTTTATAAGACAAAAAAATACTTTTGCTTGTTTCATTAAACCTTTGTGTTAAAAAGAATGGTAAAAAGCTGCTTATTTAAGTTCAAAATGTGGCAGAAAAAGCTTGTTATAAAGTGTCACAGTATACAAAGTTGCCTGTCATGCTATTTTCATACAATTTTTTTGGTCTATGAAATAGTATAAAAATAATATTTTTATAAGTATTAATTTCATAGTATGAAATTGTATGATAGGCATTTTTATCAGCGAGAGAGAACTAACTCTCGAATGGTTTCTTAGCGTCTTCTGGCCAGTACAACAAAAGTAACCAGCTGCTGATCAAATATGACAGAAGAATTCAAGCACAGAACGGATAGCTGTGACTTCTACTAAATACACCAACTGCAATCTTTCATTAACGATAAGAAGTGTCTAGGTCAGCCGTGAACAACTCACTAACGCTAACAGGTCATAAATAACAATTGTATAATTAGTAGCATAAAGTTCGGATAGACAAAATTAATTAAAAAGAGCAATTGACCTATTTTGGAAAATTTTTGCATGCGATTTTGTGTATCAAGGTTGTATGAAAAAAGAAATTGCATGCAAAAGTCTGTCAAAATGGTACGATTGCTCTTTTTAATTAATTCTGTCTGTCCGAACTTTTTGCAATTCTCTATAGCTTAGACTGTTTTACATAGATTGTGACCTTGAAATACGCATACTACGCCGTATGATAACGGTAAAAAACACCCCAAACCAAAAACTTTTTTCACCTTCATTGTTCGGGGCAAAACTTCGAAGTTGTGGCTGAACTAAGACATAAATTCAAATGAACTTACGAATTAAGTCATCGCAGTCAAGGTTACCACGCTATCGCAGTCAAGGCTAAACGTGATGCCAGTTGCCCGACCACGTGATGCCTGTTGATCTTATGTTTGTATTTGTTTTTAACTGTTACTTACAAGAGCAGTTTGCAGACGTCTAATCTTAATCAAGCTGGCCAAGTCGAAACTTTAAACGAAGTAGGCGTTCGTTCAACTCAAATTTCCTAAATTGTATTCACAATTCTTAAATAGAATATTTTTGAGCGCCTTTAGTGCTTCAATTTTGTTGCCCTGATTAGACACCAATCTTTAAACACTTTGCGGATTTATAGCCAAGGCACAATTTGAATTGCTTGACTCATCATTCTATTTTTACTAATTGAAATTTTTCTCTTTCGCGAAGTTTTTTCAAATCTATTTGAAAAGCTTGAAATGTTATGGCTTGAAACATTGTAAAAAAAAATTGAACCACAATTTATTCGATGAACATTTTTAGAGTGATGAAATGTTTTCAGTTTAAGCCAGAGTTTCGATTTTAACGCTTTCCGAATGGGAAGCAATTTAAGATTCGTCTGTTTGTCGGTTTGAGTAGTCTCAGTTTGGCCCCTATGACCGCCAGTCGTGTTTCGTTGTCCACACAATGGAATTGGAGAGTGACCATACTTGGGAGTTCATCGTCGGCTGGGATGTGGAACTCTCCCAAGAGAGACACTGGCTTCTGGGATCCAACGTTTCTAAAATATCAAATCGTCATAACATAATTAGAATTCTATAAACAAACTTTTCTTGTAGTTCATCTTGTTTATTAGATTGCCATTCTGCCAAAAGATGGAATATAGCAATTTTGTTTTTCAAAGAAAGTATTGAAACTTTTTTTTTCTACTCACTGAAGAAACGCAATATTCTCCACTCGATCTTCCTGCGCCCCATCTTCGCCTTCCTCCCCCTCGGAACCCCCTCCCCTTTTTCTATCTTTTCCTGCCCATTTTTCGTCTTGAACATTCGGCGACAACACCAAACAGGCGAACACAGCCGACTTCTTGGCGCTCTCGTCGCCGATCGGTTTGGCAGTCGAGTCCTCTTCGTTCGGGTATTCGTCGGATACTTGTTCGCCTCCTCCGTTGTACAACACAACTTCACAGCTCAATTGGTAATATCGGCCTAAATTTTAAAAAATTATATGCAAAATGCAAAAAAAAACACAATTTCATTGGCCTTAAGTTTTCTGTTGCGAGGGGACAGTGTTTTCTACAATTTATTTAATTTTTTTTTATTCCGTTCAAAAAATTTGTGAAATTACTTTGAATATTATAAGAAAAACACGCCAACTAAAAAAACATGACCGTGGTCCAATTTTATTAAGACTCTTTTGTACTTTATAAAATAAGTGACGAATAATTTAACCAGATTTCCTGAAAAACCATTAAAAAATTAAAGTTTTAGCGCAGGCAGTACAAATATGTCTATATTACATTTGAATTTTTAGTTATTCATGAACGAGTAACTAGTAGCCATGAAACAGTTATGGTTAATTTTGAATTTGAAACAAATTATTATAATAATTTTTGCACACTTATTATTTCATGAAGATAATGTATAGACGAAAGTAGTACCTGCGTTGACCAGATGTCGAATATTTAGAGTGACAGAAGATGCTTGGAAGGGTCTTTCAGTCAGCACCACCGCCCTGCTCTTCCTCTCCGACCCTCCCCCTCCCCCTCCCCTCCCCCCTCCTGTGCCCCCCTTCGCGCCTGCGGAGAAGGGAGAGGGGGAGGGGAGAGAGAGGAGTCTGCTCTCAACCCTTCCAATACCACTGCACCGCCACAATTCACTTACTTGTGAAGTGGACTCGAATCGACTGTTTCTGAAAAGGAGGAGAGAGCTGTACATCAAAAATACTCTTGTTCTACCGTTTCCTATACCACATTACTCCCCCCCCCTCCCCCGGTCACCATTTTTCTTACATTCTGTGTAGTATATAATCATCAAATTAACAGAATAACCACTGATTTTAGAGAGTCGTGTTTGGACAAAAAGAGATATGTTTGTAATTGGGCCATACAGCCAAAATGCCAATTTTTATGAAAATTGCACTGTGGAAAAAAGGTAGTAACGACTAAACCCCCACTTCTTCTACAGGGAATTCACCCCTCCCCCTCTCCCTCACAAGATTTCGACCCACTCACTATCTAAAGTGTCGTCGCTTTGATTCTGTATTACATCATCCATTTTGGCTCATCGGCATTAAAAATAACTCAAACTCGCCTTTAACTCTAATGTCGACTTGCATTATATGAATCACGCTCCAAAAAAAAAAAGTTTTCCAAAAAGTCCTTAAAAACGGAAAATTTTGCAAAAACTTGCAAAAACGACAATTTAAAGAGCTTAGATAATTAACAGGATCATATTTAGCAATAATTTCGGCGCCCAGAAAACTTTATTTTTTCGTGGCGCTCGCTATAGCTCGTCTCCTTGATTTTAGTGGGAAAAGTAAGCTATGAATTAGTAATATTTCTAACTTGAGTTTGTTTGGCACCGATGCTGCTTGTTGGTCCCCACCAGTGGCCTTGGCCTTCAAAGAAGGAGTCTCTATATCTAGAGTGAGAGATGGGGGACCCTCGGTGACGAAGCAGAGGAATGCCTTCTGGAAGTGGTCACTTGTGTCTCCGACGAGCACTTCAGATATGTCCAGATCTCCTTTGACAGTAGTCGACATGGATGCATTGCAGTGGACTCTGTTGGAAAAAGTAAGAATAAATAATAAAAAATATAACAAAGTAATTAAATTAATTAATGTTATTTAAATTAAAAATATAACAAAGTAATTAAATTAATTAATGTTATTTAAATTAATTAATTAAGAAAAAAATAAAGAATTTTAAAAAAGTAATAGAATTAATTAAAGTTAAAGTAATTATTTGAGACTTTGATTTTAATATGAAAAGCAAAAAGTCTGAAAAGCAAAAAAAAATCACACCGGATGTTTCAAAAAACTGTTATAACCAGGTTTATCTCTTATAAATAAATTCTAGCAATTGGCAAATACATAAATGGCTGGGGGATCATTAATTAGCCAAAAAATCTGTTCCAGTTTTCCATTACTAATTATTGCCGCGTACTAGAAAGGAACATAAGATTCGGAGTTTTTTCGACGCAAAAGTAAATTATAACTAATAATTGAAGAGGCCAAACGATGAATCAATCTATACTTTTTTTGTACTTATTTCAGTTGAGCTGCAATGAAAAATTCCCAAAACTATTTGTTCCACTAATGTCAAGAAAAACCGTTCATTTGACTATCTTAGAGCAAAGCATGGGAGGGTGAATTAAGTCACACTCTACACTTAAATTAATTTACTTGCATTCATTTTTTAAGAAAGCTAAATTTAAAGCCTATCTCTGAGCTTTAAAAAAAACATTTTTTTGATAACCAACGACCTTTTTTTTTATATATATTAATACCAAATTGCTGCCGGCAAAAATTAAACAAAATTATATAAAATGGCGCTTAAGTAAATTGCCTGGCAGATCGGGGCTTTACAGATCCGTTTTCAGGGGTATCTGAGCTGAAAAGCTTTGAGTTAGGACCGAGTTGGTTAACTCATAGAGTAATTTCGGATAGGGTACACCGTCTGCTCGTCACGCTATCTTATTTTCGGCCGGATAGATTCGTGCAACTTCTTAGTCTAATACCGATCCTAATCTTACTCTTATACTATCTAGTCTCAGGTTGTTTAACTAGTCTCTGCTAGGCTCAATAGATCTAGGGTATACTGGTCTATTGCGGCTGTTGAAGTGCTCGGGAGAGTCCAACTAATTTCTAAGTTAAATTCAAATCTCTCTGGTGCTGAAATTACAAGTAACTTCAGCACTTACAAATAAGTGGGTTGTTAGTTAGATGGATCATGATTGGTTAATATTAAATACTTTACATTGGTAAAATATCTAAATTATCCAATCATAAAATGTAGTTTAGATCAGGTTCCACCCATCCGGGTTTTACAGAGTTTTTTAGAATAGTTCTTCTGCAATTCGAAGGATGGATGATGGACGTTGGTGTTTGGCGAACATCTTATTTCTTCTGTTTCCTTTTTGTTAAAGAAGTTCCAGGAAGCTGGAGTTAGAGACATAAGACGTTGTGTCTTCTAGTGACAACGACTAAGTCTTTGCAACAAACTCAAATCTGATTTCAGAATGGTTTGCTATGTCAGGTTTTTCTTGTTCTGCGTGGAGATTGTGCGTGGAGGGGATGCCTGGTTACTCGGATCTGTACGTATACTTGAACATCGAGGTGGTCATTGGTCTAGTTCAATGAAGTCCTTTTCTGCGAAGTCAAGTCGTACTCTAAATCCTTTGAGTTGTGATTGTGAGTGGCATATCGATTGTGGTTGGTCATTCCCTCTCGAGTGTAGTGGGGTCGTTTTGTCTTTGGATGTTCGTCCTTGGTGTTGTATTCTGATCTATGTATTGCATAATGTAATTTACATTTTATAAAACATTTATTAGTTTAATATTTTTTAATTATGATTTTAGTTAGTTGTTTTCACAAAAGCTTTTTGTTTTAGTTCGGTTATTTTGAAGAGTTACTCACACTTGAGTAGCTCTTATTAAAAATAGAGGTGTGGTCACAAAGCGTGGATGTAGCGCGGTGGGTTAGGCCGGCTATAGAGCATGCTCAGGACGTCCTTCCTGGTGGGTTAGGCCAGGAATGGGAGTATGATTTCATGCGGTTTTTGTGAGGGGTCCTGTTATGTGACAACGTTTTATGTTGGGTTTGTTGTGGTTTTTCTTATGTCTTGTTGGTTATGTCCTTTTTCCAAAAAGTAAATTGTTCGTGGTATGGGTTTGTCTTTCGACTTTTTTGTGTTTTATTATTTCTTTCTTAGACTTTATAATAGTCTTAAAAAGAATAAATTATCCAGTTTTAAACTGGGTTAATCCGGTTTGGGTACCGTTGGTTTCCTTTTCTTAGTTATGCTGTTATTCTATGATTTGTGGTATTTAGTAAGCTGCGTTGGTTAGTTTTGTTTAGTATATGATTCCTTTCCAACCGGGTTAAAGGAAAGTTTGAAACATGTTATTATATGTTAGAGTTGTTTAGTGTGAAAACTTGAAACTGAAATTCATTATTTTAAACAATTCTTCGTGGGCGAGCTGTGCGAGTGTGGATAGAATTTCTGTGCGAATGAATGAGAATATCAAAAGATTAGTACTGCATTTGCTTCTTATTAATTTACTGCATAGAATTTGGAAATTTACTGCTAGTTATGGGGGAATTTTAAGTTACAAATTTTCATCATAATTAGATTTACTGCTTGTGGGGAAAATTTTAGAAATGAATTTACTGCATTGGTATTAAATTTATAAATTTATAAGTGTAAGAGATTAATAGAATTGTTGAAGTCTGTTTGATGAAATTTGCGATCTTTATTTGTTTTTTGTGGTTTTTGTAGGTGATCGTCGGCTGAAGGCTAAAAATCTAAGGAAAACATGGATAAAGTATGGTGAGTTTTTTAATATTTCAATTAGTTAGTTATATTCATTTAATTCATACTTACCTGTTAGTCGTCGGGGAAAAAACCGTGGGGGAAGATGTCATGAATTAGTTCTGAAGTTGTTAGTAGTTTAGCTAAGATGCGGATGATATTTTTAGTTTGAAGCAGTGGCCAAAGCAATTGAAGTGCCTTAATAGTGGTTAGTTCTTCAGTGCCAACTGCAAACTCATAAGGTGTGTTTTGGATTAGATTATATAATTTGTGATTGAATTTAGTGTTGTGGATGAATTCTAAAATTGGGATTTCTATGGGTTGTACAAACTCGTGCGGGATAAGGAAGGGTCGGGATTCTTCGGCGTTGAAGGTCTTGGTGATGGGACAGAAGATGTACATTTGGGTTATGGGGTCATAATTACGAAGAATACCATGAAGGTTAGTATCTTTAATGCAATATGTGAAATTTAGGAAAAATGGTGAAGTGTATTTGGAATTATTGAATTGAAAACGATGGTGTGGTTGTCTAGAGGGTGTGTGTAGGTCAAAGTGATTTTGGATGAAGCGATAATAACTATATGTGTGGGTTTGTTTAGTGCGCAACATAATATCGTGTGAGCAGTGTAAATCTCTTTCGTGTGGTGCAAGGAAATGAAAGGTTAGTGAAAATATTTGGAAGCGTTCTTTGAAACTTTCGTATGCTTGTGTGTCTATTAGTGCTTCTGAAATAATGTGATCAAACTTTCGGTCGAAGATGTTTAGTGTAAATATATATGGTGTCTTGATGAAAAATTTCTCAGTAATTTGTGGATTAGCGAAGCGATCGTCGTCTAAGAATTGATCTTGGTTAGCTCTGATGATGTTGTGATCATAGTATTCGAGTGTATATTCGTTAGCTCTAGGTGCAGTGTGTGTTTTTAGTGATTTTTTATATCCAACGTAAGTAAATTGTCTAGCGGTTAGTGGTGTAGTGAGTTGATATAGCATGTCCGTATTTCGCTCTATATCGATGTGAGTGTTAGATAAAGGTAAGCAAAGAGGGTTAGTAAAATGATAATATGAGGTCCAAGAGAGAGTGGGCATTAAAACGTATTCATCTACAAAGTTGCGTGTTTCGTTAGTGTCGTGGGGGGTGTTTAAGGTGTATTGTGGGAATGAGGGTAAGGTGATGGCTAAAAATTCTTTTGTGTTAGTATGCTTGGGGTGGTTGATGTATTCACGGGCTGTTCCTGGTTTTGCTGGGAAAGGATGGTTGGGGAACTTTCTTTTAAAAGTGCGGTAAGCTCTATTAGTGTTGAGTGAAGATTCAGTTGATGTGGATGATGGTGCTAATGATTCAGTATAATTTGAAGAGGGTGTAGGGGTAGGGGGGTTGGATGAATTTATTGTGGAGGAGATTTGGTTTATGGTTGGGGTATTAAGGTGGTAGGGTTGTTGTTGAAGGGTAATAAAATTATCTAGCTCTGGGGAGATTCGGGGGGTGTCTGGAGAATGAGATGATTGGTCAGAATGGTATGAGGAGTAGGTTGGGGTAACTTGGGAAGCATAAGAGGGTGTGGGAGTGATTGGGTCAGGGTTATTGGATAATATGGGTTGAAAAGGGGGTTGAGAAAAATTAGAAGAGTTATGAAAATTATTGGATGGGGATGGTTCTGAGTCGGCAAATTCATCGGGGGTTTCAATATTCGGGTTATTGAGTTGTGAGATGGAATATAAAACTGAGATGTGTGAATTAGTGTCGGAATTCATGCCTGATGTTACATTACTAGATGGAAAATCGGGTGGCGGAAAAGCAAAAAGTGGTATTATTGGGATTGGAGAGGTAAGATTGGTTGGGTGGGAATTTGATCGGTGTAGTGATCCAAGTTGGCGGCTCATCGTGGGCTAAAAAAATGATTATTTTGAGACTGAAAAGCGGTGGTATGGGGTTGTTCAATAATTTGTTCATAAGTATTATCATCTTGTGACTGGTGTGTCATTATATGTTGAATGGGACTTTGTGATGTGTTGAGTCGAAAATTTGGATTATGTGTGATGGCTAAATTTCGAAAATTTCGTGGGACTAGGGATAGTGGATGGTTATTTGGTAGGGGTGGTAATTGTGGTGCCGTTGGCGTTATGTCTACATTGTTATGTTCTTCGTCGTATGTATTTTGTCGTGTTGCTATTTTTGTGTTATATTCTTTTATTTGTGCGTCTAAAAGAATTTTGTTTATAGATGTAGAAAAGATTCCAAAAAATCCTGC